AGTTCCATGTGATGGGATTGGTGGCAACAAGGATGGCTAGATATGCTAGTATAAGGAAGACCGAAGAAATGAATAGCGCCAAACAGGCATGGAAAATCATTTGCATTCCACTACAACTACTGTTTTTCAGTGAATGTATTTTACATTCACTGAAAAACAGTAACAAGTTCTGCCCGCTCTAGTTTGTGATGCTTAAGAGATACAGATTTGCGTTATGAGCAAATTATGTAGCTAATAACAAAACCTACCAAAGCTCTATACATCATTTTGCGGAATGCTGTCGATGAAAAAAGTTAAAGGAAAATGAATGTAAATGAATGTATGAAATGAATGCAAATGATTTTCCATGCCTGGCGCCAAACAATTTTTCGAGCGAGCGACATCTCAAGAAGTAAAACATCAGCTACAGAGATTCTTTATACAGGTATTCCACTATGACGCCCACATTCATCAGGAATCAGCTACAGATTATGATTATATAGGTGGTCTTTTTTATATGTTCATGAGAGGCATCAGAAATATTTACAACAGCGTTACCCAATGTGCGCCGGACGTGGTCTCTGGTTCTCAGGAATTATAACATTCTAGCCCAATTATTTTTCATCATTATGAATTTCAACCCAGAATGAGTGAGAAATAAACTAAATGCAGATTGAAACATGTTCAGTAGACTGATGCAAAATTTGAAATTTTCGCTCCACTGTGCTCAAACGGTTTTAAATTGGATCCCTATTAGTCTCCCAAAATTTGAAATTATTTAGTAAGATACTGACTTGGCACAAACCATTTGAAGTTTATATATAAATTACCATGGGGAAACCAAAATTTTGGTTCATATCTATTTCAAAATTCACCAGTTCACTCTGCTAAATAAAATGATAGCTGCGCTTGATGAAAATTTTCTCAGCTACAACTTTTTTCAAGACCACTTTTCGATTAAATGAAAGGAACATAAGTTATTAATGATTCCAATGAATAGGTCACAAAAATAATGGCTACTATGTCACACTGCAGAATACAGTGTTGCCCACAATACAGCTGCTTAATCATGCCATAAGATCATCAATCTTTTAATCAATTAATAAACATTTAGTTTGACGCTGGGCTGAAAAACGATCTTCTGCAAAAGTTTAGCTGAGAAAATTTCCCATAAAATTAGCGATAAAACCTGTTAACAGTGCAATATGGAAAAAGGCTAGAAGACAGTGATCAAAACGTTTGGGTTTCCCACAGTAATTTCCATATAAACTTCAAATGGTTTGTGCCAAGTCAGTTTCTTACCAAATGAGTTTAAATTTTGGATTTAGACCCGATTTGGAACCATTTGAGTTCTGTGGAGCGAACATTTCAAATTTTGCATCAGTATAATGTTCAGCCATTTAAAAAAGGTTGGGCAGGCCTGATTTACAGGGTATCATAAGATTACCCGTAAACCTGGATGGACAACTTTTTGAAACATCGTTAAGTAGATAGATTTCTGAAATCTGGTCTGGAAATCTGGAGAAATTCGGATAGGTATTATTGCCGCAAGTCGTGCTTACTAAGGACTGACAAGACCATGAGGTTTGGTAAACTGCGTCCCCGTACTAAGTTGGGGACATTGGATGAGCACAATGGTCGACGAGGACCTGCAAGCATTGGGAGTTTTTGAACGATGCTAGCTTAGGACCGTGTTTAAACGTGCCACCGAGTTCATGAAAACGGTGTATGGAAGAGAAAAATGAACCACGAGCTGGCGCAACTCTATGGTGAACCCAGTATCCAGAATGTCACTTAAGTTAGAAGGGTACAATGGGCGGGACACGTTGTAAGGACAACAATCCCGCAAAAATGGCGTTTGCCTCGAATCCGGTCGGTATAAGTCTCAGAGGAGCACAGTGAGCTAGGTGGTTAGACCAAGTGGAGCAAGATGTAAGAAGTGTGTGGTACGCTCAAGAAACTGGAGACAAGCATCCACGAACCGAGTTAGTTGGCGTAACATTGCACAGTGGACCAGGAATTAAATCTAGCAGGAAAAAAATAATAACGCTTTGGTATTACATCCAATTGAATTGACGTCTTGAGTGAAGTTTCTTGGATTAATTAGGACTACAATTTAATGGATAAATATAGTTCGCAATTTGCCTGATATTCATGTGTTATATTTTGAAAATCAATGAACAAAGAATACTTTTACCATTTTTCCTCGATTGGTACTGATCAGTCCAATCTATTCCTGATCAATACTATAATTTTAGAGTACTTAAAAAAAAAATCTAAAAAATGCGCAAGTAAACGCAAAGTGCCAACAATTATTCAAAATATAAAGGGTGTCCACAATTAAATTGCAACAATTTAAAAAAGCTGTAACATTTTGCCCTTTAGGTTAATTTTATTGAAATTTTGGGGACATGAGCTCAGCGTGTAATGTTTACGCTGCGTGAGTTTCATTGTGAAATCTTTAGTAGTTTTAAAAATGGAGTCGAAGGAACAGCTCGTGTGCTGAAAAATTTTGCACACTCACCTCAACAACCCATATCTTTCGTACCGAGTCATCGGAAAGATGTTGGGAATCCAACAATGTACTGTTTCTCATGTTTTAAAAACGTTTCGGAGAACGTTTAACTGTCGATCGGAAGCAAGTGAGTGCAAGAAAAAGTGTTCCATACTGCGTTGAAGATCACAAGCGAGTGGTTGCTGCCTACAAACGCAAACCCAACAAATCCGTTAGAGATGTCGCGAAAAAATTGCACCTGACAAAAAGTTTCGTGCAGAAAGCCAAGAAACGTCCATTCAAGGTTCAGAAAACACCAAACCGCACTGAACGATAGAATAGGACAGCTAGAACGCGGGCACGTAAGCTGTACACACAAATGTTGACAAAACCACACTTCACACAAATTCCGGGAAACCAGTATGTGACTGCGAAAGACTAGTTCGATGTTTTATAGTCCCTCCGGAAACAGCAAGTGTCGAAGTTCCCCAAGAAATTCATGATTTGGCAGGCGATTTGTTCGTGCGGAAAACGGAGCAAGCCTTTCGTAAGAACTACAACCGTAAATGGCCAAGTCTACATGAATGAGTGCCTGAAGAAACGACTCCTAAAAAAATTTGGCCAGATCTAGCCTCCTGTCACTACTCCAAGGACGTTCTGGAGTGGTACAAGACGAATGGGGTTAATTTCAAACACACCGGAGTTGCGACAGATAGAAAGATAAGGCTGGGCTATAATGAAGCACGAGCTCCGTAAGCATCCTAAAGTTGTCACTACGGAGCAGGAAATGTTGAAATCATGGTTGAAAGCAGAAAACAATGTCGTTTCAACCGTTGTACAAAACATTATGGGTGGAATTAAGTAGAAATATCGATCATTTGGATTTGGTGAAGGAATAAATTGAAATAAAGGTACTTAAACCAAGCTTATAAATAGTATTACATTCCCTGAAAATTTCATGACAATCGGTTGAGAGACTTATTGTTGCCGAGTACTTCTAAATGATGCAATTTAACTGTGGACACCCTTTACATCGAATACACTTTAATTCCTAAAAAAAATATCTCAGAAGTATATTGAGATACATTTGAGTTATTCGGATTTGATTCAAACAATATGTCTTATTTAAACAAATGCAGCTTGACCTTTGCCTCCTAAATAATTTGATAATGCTCCCATTTCATCAGCTCTTGAGCGATTTTGACAAAACAGCTTCCAATTACTTCTTATTTAAATTGCCATTGTAAAAAAAATAAATTAATGGAGTCAAAACCACTTTTTTGAAAATAATAACAATAACAAAATAAGACCGAAAGTATTCACAATTTTGATTTTAAAAATCAGCACCCTAAAATTAACATAATAAGCCATTTCCAGCTATATTCAGAAACAAGTTTGGTTTTGTCCGTCTTTTGATTGCTGCCACTGAGCGTTGCATTGTTTGAATGGTTACAACAACAACACGATTATAAGAAATGCTATGTAATATGAGAGGCTCGGTGGCCTAACAGCGACCGTTTTTTCTCAGGCCACTTCATATTCAAGAGTCTTCTTTTTTTTCCTTGATTTGTTTTCCGTCAATCTTGTTTTCCGTGCTGAGCACCAATGCTACCGACGCCAGGGAGGCAGCTCCCACACCTGGACCCTACCTATCAACCCATCAAACTCATGAACCGGGGACCAACGGCTTTACTTCGTGATCAGAGATGTTATGTCTCAGAACGGGATGGCGGCGCCGACTGGGATTGAACCCAGGCCTGCTGGGGTGAGAGGAAATCACGCTTACCACTACACCACCGGCGCCGCTTATTCAAGAGTCGTCAGTTGCTTTAGTTCACAACGAACACACCACTTCAATTCAGTGAACCGTTTATCGAAACGAACCCTGCTGGACACCCTTTTATGCCACATCTCAGTGACTTCTCGGCTTCCATCAACAACTCCCATAATCAAAGCGACACACACACACGTTACCCATTCCTTAATTGACCTGAATTGACCTGGCTAGTCCCAAGTATCATCTATTGGTTCTTTGTGTGATTACAAGTAATTCGGCAATAACGGAGTAGTAACAGCTCATGTGGACGACTTTTAGTAAAATTGATGGCTTATAATGATTTTTATTACGACTATAAGTGAGCAAAATTTTAAAAAGATGAGATCCTTAAATTTCAAGAATATTAAGTTATTCTATGAAAGGACTTTGTTAGATCATTTTCGCTCTTGCTCAAAAACTAGCTTCATAGAGTTTCCCCAGCATGAGAGATTGGTTGTGCCCAACCTGAATACGCAGGTGATCCTCACTCGGTTCTACGACATTTTGAAACACACATAAATCCAACCCTGTCACCGCGCACCATCACCGCTACAAACGGAAAGCACGTCACACATTCATTTATTCCGCGGTCAGAGATTATTTTTGGACACAAATCACATTTTTTCACGACGCCGTCGTCGTTTTTCGTTCGTTCTCACTACTGACAGGCTGACAACGGGCCGTTTCAGAATTTTCTCGCTCAAATTTCACCTTGCACTTTGGTATAGTAGACAATTAGGCACACACGCGCTTTGCATTGCGTTGATGACAAATGCATGATGGATACTCCAACTCGCACAACCACGCCGTTCTCTAGCTGCCTGTCAGAATCGATTTCGAAGCGGGCGATGATCGCAATTAGAGCCGCATCAGAACCGATCGTCCGACCTCCTGCTGTTCCTGCTGGGCGAGGTGGGTTCGAATCAGATTGAAGCACAGCACAAAGTACGTGAACACCTCGAACGCCAGACAGAGTAGGATGTGGATAATTTCCAGTCGGTAGTCGCCCATTTGCTCGCTGGGATCTTCAGAACTTCCTCTTCTGAAGTTTCGCTGTGGTGGCTCTTTCGTAATGTCGCGGTTGGACACTTGACCGAGTTTGAGTTCTCGTACGATGGAAAGGAAGCAGTGCGTGCACGATCGCGAGTCACCAATCTTCTTGGGATGCCCGGTTCGAACTGAAGGAAAATCTCGAAAGATCAAGTGGCGACGGCGAAGATCTCTAACTGTGCGGGATCTCGCGTGATCTTCTACAATACAAGAGCAGTGAGAAGAACGCGTTTCCTATGGTGGTTAAATTAACCTAGACACCGGCTGAGAGCGAGAGGAAGAATCAACTTGACGACGGAGAGACCGATCTAGGTAGAAGAAGGGTGAAAAGATGCTGCATAATGCATCCGAAAACAAAACAGAAAATGAGTGGAAAGGAAGGGTGAGATCAAATTTGGGACCGGAGATTAAAATGATCTTCTCGACGACTCCCCGAGCCGAGAGCGATGCCGTGCTGCTCGCAGTTCGGTTCTATTATGCTGGCGGACGACGCGTCGTGGCGCATGAGATGGCTTGTTCGTGAACTGGTTTCAAATTGGACAAGTTTGAAGGGTCATACAAAGTGTGTTTCATCAAATTAGAGAATGCATGACTGGATAGAAATACAAAAGTAGGAGCAGTAAAGTGGCATCATTTTGTGGTCGTGGAATGCGTTCGGTGCCACTTGAATGAGAATAGTGGATGCGGTTCAAAACAATGGGTGATTTTGAAATTCATGTCTAACTGATAACTACCTTCAATGGGTATTGATGGTATGACACGTTAGGTGAAGCAAGAAACAAAATTAACTATTTGTCTACAACTATCAAACATGTGTCTTCTGTGTATTTTGTTAAATTTAAAATCAACTATACGGATGATTATTTGCAGACGACTTTAAATGTTTTTGAGACTTGATTATCAATATACTGAGATGTATGGGATGTGCAGTTGAGATTAGAAAAATGATAACTGACTAAAAATACTGTATAAATGTAAGGGGACTGGAATTTATAAAGCAACAGTGTACATCTAGTCCTAAGGTCTTAGTATCTATTTATTTATTTTATTTATTTGTCGTCAATTAAGAATAAGGACTGTTCAAGTTATAGAACGAATATATCAAATTGTCTGTAACTTTTTCATTTTTCATTGAATCCCTATCGGTTATTCAGGATATGAATAGATTGTGATCTAAACAAAAAATATGCATTGCTTAAATGAATGATAATCAATCGCAAAACTTTAGAATGAACCATAAAAACAAGTACTAAAAAATAAAATAAAATTCAAGATTTCCATCTTTTTGTTTTCTTGTCCTGTTTATTCACTTGCGTAGAAGCTTTTATGTAAAAATATTATTCTTTACATTTGTCAGGTAATTTAATTATAACAAAATGTGATTAATATTGTGTTGACATAGTTAATAGTCTAAGCAAAATTTAAGATATGTGTTTCAAATGTGTATATTCAATTAAATATAAATTGAATATACACATTTGAAACACACATCTTAAATTTTGCTTAGACTATTAACTATGTCAACACAATATTAATCACATTTTGTTATAATTAAATTACCTGACTGAACTGTCACTGAATAGCTTAAGCTTACGGTATTAGGAGGTATCAGAATTTTTGAGATATTAAAGTCAATTTTCCAAATTTGTAAACGAGTGACAAAAAATGATACCGAAAATAATGCAAAATCGAACAAGCACTATGTGCTACGGAATTCATATTTATTTAAATTGGTGTGTATCATCTTTCAGAAGAGCTAATATAAAAAAAATATCTCGCTTGACACAATCTTAACATCCAGAGTCAGGGCCCAACAAAGTAACTTTCAATCGAAAATCGTCAAGCGACGACGAAGCTGTCAACCATCACTTTCAATTGAAACTCATTCTGTCTTCTCTTCGAGGGGATCTCTCCTTCAACATCAACAGAACCACTTTTGATCAGTTTTCATGCTGTTTGTTTTGGCTCGACTGGAGTTCATTTCGTCTTTCATTGTCAAATGAACATGCTTTCGCATTGAAGCGAAGCTGTTCGATCCAAATGCGCTCAGTTTTTCTGACTTTAGTTGATTGTTCACTCGATTCATTTTAGCGCATCTGTGCACGTAGATGTTAAATTTATCATTGTCGGAATGTTTGTTTACCCATCAATATGGGTATTTTTTGAATCGTGGTGACGTCTAGAGGCCGGAAATCGATGACCGACGCCATTGAAATCCAAGATGGTGACATTCGATTTCAGAAAAAAATGGGAAGCACTGACGCCGACTCATCAATATGGGTATTTTTGGAATCGGGTGACGTTTAAAGATCGAAATCATTTTGCAATACAAGATAGCGACTTCCAGTTAAAAACTACAAGGGACAGCCCAATGGGGTTGTACGAACAGTTGACGTAGGACTATGTTGACGTTCACATATGTTAACTATTTTGAACGAACGTTATTAAAAATTTCCGATATTATTATGACATCCGTGAATTTTTTTCGAAGTGTAATAATTGGTCAGTGTCCATTTTCCGTTTAATACTAATAAGATTATTTTTTTCAGTTCATGTGTAATTATTCTTGTGTTAGAAAATATTCCAAACTAACTCTTTCTTTGAAAATTTTGGTGGCCCTGAAAAGAGCCGTTTTGATGTTGCATGGCCCTCAAAAGAAGTAAGGACTATCCAACGCTTATGTAATCACAAAAGCACAAGAATGAGGATCGGCTCGACGACGCCAATCTTTTATAGTGGCTGCTGACACGTGATTGGTTAGTTGCATTCAGTGCTGAGATTTGTCATTGTCATTGACAGGCTTTCGCGCGATATTGACAAAATTGTTCGTCACATAGTCACTGACAGACTTGATCCTCAAAAAAACCTTCGTCAAAATCTCATTCATTTTTTCGTCAATGACAAAGATTCACCTGGTAACAAAAAGTGTTATTTAGTACATTCTGTGTCACATTATTGTTATCCAAGAAGCTCAGGGCGTAGATACTTGTTCACTAAAATGGACCCATGTAATTGTTTTGCTCAAGTCATTTAATGTCGTTACAAATTTAGCTAATAAACAAATCTGCACATGTTCGTCACTGACATCATTGTCATTGACAATTGACATGGTTTGTCTTGACTATGACTGTTAGCTCAAATGAGTGACCAAAGCAGAATTGTCAATATCACCGTGTACTGTCGAGATTTTGCAGCACTGGTTGCATTATCCAGTCAGGTTGCAACGCGTGGTGGTAACTTCTAGAATGCGAGTTGTGCTTCGCTAGGATGTTGACAAAATGAACCATTAAGTCAAGGCTATTTTTCACATAGATGGCGCTGTTCCATTGCTAGTAAGTAATAAAATTCTGAGATCTCCACGGATAATGTGAGCTAGTTTGAGCTTGGGTTAGCTTCGACATGACGATAGCGTGCTTGATGACGGTGGCCCACAATGCTTTCTCACGATGAGCAACTGTACCCAAACAGTAACTTCATCACTGCTACTGTGTCTAGAGCGCTCTTGCAGGCAGCCTCGACAGCAAGCTGCTTGTGGAGCCTTTCGAACAGGTCTGAAGTTCGAAAGGAAATGCGGCAACGGCTTGATTTGTTTGGGACCAACTATGTGATGTCTTTGTTAGGAAATACACCTTATGGTGTAAGCAAATGTATGGGGAATTTTGATGCTACAAATTTTAGTTAAATTTCTTAGTTGTTTAACTATGTGCACTATTTGTACTATATGCCACAAAATTTGCTGGAGTAAGCCCCCGTCGAATGGTATATTGCATGACATATTCCACACTAATGCTTTGGAGATATATGTGTTCAAAACCTGACCCTTTCGTTACATGCTCATTTTTCGTACCCTCCATATAGAAAACAAAGACGTAGTCCTACGTCAAAAACAGTGGGAAATACTGTCAAATGCCCATTAATACAGGTATTTTGACGTAGGACTACGCCTGTGATTTCTATATGGGGTACACTTTGTGAAAACCAAAAATGGAACATGTAACAAAATTATGAAAGATTTTGAACGTTAATAACTCAGCTGCCCCTGGACCAGTTTCAATAATTTTATCACCATTCAATCAGAAATATTTCTACGCATCTGTTAAAATTAAGACTTTATCATTTTTCAAAATGTCAGTATTGAAAATTGAACGAATGTGCAACTGTGGCTATGATAATTAAAATTATCACCGATTGCCTGCGAAAAGCGATTTCCCTTACACAGATTTCAAAGTTGAATTCCATCCGGTCTCACCAAATGGTGTTTATTCAATCACTGCTTGGTGAGTGGTGGTGTTCTCCAGTACATTCCTACACAAAATGCAAGCTCCTGCTGCCGTTAATAAATAAAATTTATTATATAAGATCACGTAGTCCTACGTCACCATTGCGTACAACCCCATAGGGCTGTCCCTTGTAGTTTTTTAATAGGGATGACGTCTAGAAGCTGAAAATCGATACCGGACGCTATTTTGAAATCCTAGATGGCGGCTTCCGATTTCAGAAAAAGTAGGAAATACGGTCTCATCATACTCATCATTATGGGTATTTTTGGAATCTGGATGAATTCTAGAGAATACAAATTGATATTCGACGCCAATTTCAGAAAAAGCGGGAAATACTGTAAAACACCCATCAATATAGGTATTTTTGGAATCGGGGTGACTAGAGATTGGAAATAGATACACGACGCCATTTTGAAATCCAAGATGGTGGCTTCCAGTTTAAGAAAAAGTGGGAAATACTGTCAAATACCTATCAATATGGGTATTGTTGGAATCGGGATGACGTCTAGATAATGAAAATCGATATCCGATGCCATATTTTAATTCAATATAGTAGCTTCCGGTTTAAGAAAAAGTGTGAAAATCTATAACATACGATTTTTTTCAGAATCAGAGTAAGGTTTAGAATCTGAAAATCAATATCGGACGCTTTCGATTTGAGGAAAAAGAGGGAAATACTGTCAACTACCCATCAATGTGGGTATTTTTAAAATCCCAGTAACATCTAGAGGCCAGAAACCGATGTTTGATGCCATTTCAAAATCTAAGATGGCGGCTTTGGTTTAGAAAAAGTCAAGACCAACAATTGAAATGGCCTTAACTCCATTTTGTAAACAAACCTTGTAAGGCCATTTTCTCGCGAACCGAAGTCCGCAAAGGCAAACCAACATAATGAACAGGTAGGGAAATTTCT